TAGGAACACTGATCTCCTAAAATTACCTGCCAGATTAGGAACACAGTTTCTTTTGTGACTTCTAATGCATGCTAGAAAGAAACCAACATACTGACTGTTGTAGATAAAACTTCAAATTAAGAGAGTGTGCTTTGAAGAGAGTTCCATCTTCAGCTTTCTCACTCCTAAATTATGGTAGTTAAGTTCTCTGTACACTAGCACGTTAAAAAAATCTTTTTAGTGTGTATTACATGTTCTACTTGATATTTGATCAGTTTGTTTTATGACTTTTATGACTTGGCTTTTTTTTTTTTGTCTCAGTAGTTAGCTAACATGGGTGGGGAGGGATGCCTGCATTGCTGTCACAGAGATGAGCCACTTGTGTGGGCATCTGTCGATTATCACCACTCTGGTGCTGCTCAAGCTTATTTGTGTCCTGGAAACCCTAGGGCCAGGTACCAGAGGAGTCCTAGAAGGAGCTCTGGCAAGCATAGAATTGATGGCAGCTTCATGATAATTATACTTTTTTGCATGGCTGCCTAGCTGTAACATTATAATTGCTTTCCATCCTTGAGGCTAAATAAGATAGAGAGATGCCCAAGCTGCTCAATGTATCTCAACAAATTACATTACAATTGATGCCTTTTCCAACTGGTTTCTCTCCTATAACCACCCTTCCTCCCACCCGGTCTATTCTGTTCTTTTACCAACAGGCAAAATATGACTCTAGATATCTTTTTTAAGTATAGAATATTGAGAACCATGTTTTTTTTTTTTTTTTGTTCCTTAAAATAATCATGTATTTTTCTTGTTTTCAAATCTGGATTTTAAGTAATCAGTTTTAATAGGTATGACTACATGCTAAATATATGGCGATGATGACAATAATAATAACAATAGCAAGTTGTTAGAGAGCATTTACTATATGCCAGGAAGTATACTAAGCATTTTACATACGTTTCATTTAATCCCTGCCAACCCTATGAGAGAGGTGCTTCAGATGAGGAAACTGAGACTCAGAGAGATGAAGTTACCTGCCACAGGTACTGGTCAGGTAGCAACTAGTGGAGCAGGGAATTGAATCCAGGTAGTGTGACTCCAGAGCTCATGCTCTTAACTATTTAAAAGCCATTCATTGATTTTGTGTTAAATATACCTTTTTTTCTGGGTGTCTTCTCAGATAATAGATGTAAAATTATTTTGCCTAATGTTAAATGAATTCAGTTTAAAAGTTTTTGCTTCATTAAACAAAATTCTACTGACTTATTATGGTTGTGAGATGGCATTGATGGTGAAATATAGACTTCTCTTCATAGATTTGTAATGAAATGAAGATTTATGGGGTGAAGAGACCTAAATATATTTTGTGCATCATTTGAAATAAAATGAGGGTCCAAAAAAGAGACTTAAGTGCAGAAGACCGATATTTTTGGAGAATATAAACATTTGATGCTGAAGATTCATGTTTTCCCCCCTTGAAATTTAAGAGAAAGAAAACTAATTTAAAAATATCATTTCGGCATGAATTTTGCATGGGGGGTTGTAAAGATAGAAGTAAAGTGGATGATGAATATTAACTTCCTGTTTTTAGAAGTTCTTTAGCTGTTGTATTAGTTTCTAGGGTAACAAAGTACTGTAAATCGGGATGGCTTTGTAACAACAAAAATTTATTCCCTCACAGTTCTAGAGGCCAGAAGTCTGAAATGAAGGTGTTGGCAGGGCCATACTCCTTCTGAAGTCTCTAGGGGAAGATTCTTCCTTGCCTCTTCCACCTTCTTGGCATGCCTTGGTTTATGGCAGCATCACTCCACTCTCCACCTCCATCTTCACATGGTCGTCTTCCCTTTATGTCTATCTGTCTGGTCTCTTCTCCTCTTTTTGTAAGGACACCAGTCATTGGATTAGAGTCCACTCCACTTCAGTATGGCCTCATGTTAACTAATGCCATTTGCAAAGATGCTATTCCCAAGTAAAGGTCACATTCATATACCAGGGGTTAGAGCTTGAACATAACTTTTCGAGGGGCACAAATCAACCCATAACAGCCACCCTACTTGGGGGTTGGGGGAGAATTTCCCTCTGGTAATTTTTCTCCTGCCATTTTGTTCAGCTTCCTCTCCTTTGTCTAATTTTCCTTTCCATTCTGGCAGTTAAGCTTACCTGTACCCCCAAACTCCCATTAATTTCTTTGGCAGAGAAATTTCACTGTGTCTTTGTTTAACTATCTCTTTTTCCACCCTATTTTAGAACTGTCCAGGTGTGAGGGAAATTAGCTACCTGACTTTTAGGATTCTGGTCTCTTTTTAATGATCATCCTAATTATCAGATGTATACACCCGTCCCTCAGTCACTCCCTCCCAGAGCTATCCTTCAACTAATTCTTAGTGTCAGCCACTATTCTAGGCACTGTTCGGGACAATTATTCACTGACTTTACATTCTATTGGGAAAGAATGGGTAATAAACAAATAAATGAATTTAATGTAATATGAAGTAACAGTACATGTTACAAGAAAAGTAAAGCAGGGATAGAGATTCAGAGGAGTACTGTCCTATTCAGATAGGATGATCAGGCAACGTCACTCTGAAAGTGTGATATTCGAGCAGAAATTTGTATGGAGTGAGCAAGACATGCAAATATATGGAGGAAGAGAGTTCCAGGCATAGGGAATAGCAAGTGCAAAGGCCCTGGCACGTGTTGAGTTCTCCAGAAAGCAAATGCGGCCATGGAGCTGGAAAGGCAAAGGACTTACTTGGGAGTAACACCTGTGAAAGGGAAAGGAAAGCAATAGTGCTGGACGTGGGGAACCATCAGACTTCATGCTGACCTGACAAAGTTTCTGCCAGTCCAATGGGGAGTTCCAGAGCCATTACCCCAAGGAGGGATGCTGCCATAGTCCTTCACTGAGTGGAGGAAATGGCTAGACCTTTCTGCCCCTACTTTGCTTAGTCATTTGACCAGGGTCTGCCCTGAGAATCATGGGATCCTAGCTGGAAAACTGATGTGGACTCTGATGAAGTCAATAGCTGGAGGTTGTCAGGTAAGCCCACTTTTTGCAGGTGGACGGCAAGTCCTTTCTTGAAGGGGATCTTAGTGGTACACCTGTTTTCGCCACAGACCCTGAAATAGAAATATGCTTGATCTGTTCAAGGAGCTGCAAGGTTGATGCAGCTGGAGAAGAATGAGTGAGAGGGAGAGTGATAGGGAGCGAGGTTGGAGAGGTAGCAAGACCAGAAGAAGCAGGTTCTTGTGGGATGTGGTAGGACGTTGGATCTCATTCTAAGTGTGGTAGAAAGCCATTAGGAGATTTTGAACAGGGAAACATATTATTTGTTTTACATTTTAAAAAGATCACCCTGGCTGCTACAGCAGGGCATCTCTGCCCTAAGCCATTCGTATTAGTTTATCTATGCCTGTATGACCAACAACTCCACAATTTAGTAGCTTAAAATAACAATGGCTAACTTTTTCTCAAAATTCAGTGGGTTGACTGGGTCATTCTGCTGGACTCACCTGGGCTCATTTGTGTGCCTGCAGATAGTCACCTGGCTGGGCCTGGATCTGCTGAGATGGCTTCTCCCACATCTGGTCCTCAGCTGGGATAGGTGGGATGACAGGACGGACAAGCCTGCCCCTCCATATGCTCTTTCTTCTTGTGCTTCTTCACATGAAGGTGGAGGTGTTGCAGGAAGTCAACTCCAGTGTGCAAGCATTTATCCAGCTTTGCCTGCATCGGGTTTACTCATGTCCCATGGGCTAAAGCAAGGCGATGTCCAAGCCCAGATCAACATGGGAGGGGAACATACAAGAGTGTGGATCTCTGGAAGTGTTATTCATAGGGCCATTCCTGTAACAGTCTACCACATTAAACATTGTTTCAGTTCCTTTACTTTTTCTGATCCCCTGCTCATCAAGTTACCTTCTGAGTATAATCTGGTTTCCCACGTAAGTATACTTCCAAGAAAATAATGCACTGATCTTATGGACTTCACATAATTCCTATTGCTGTGACAGCAATTCCTTATTGGAAAATAATAAATTGACTTATTTCAAGGAGAAAATAGATGCTGTATGGACTTCCAGTATTCCATACTAGAACAGTGTGGTCTGTGGATCTCTTACCTAAGAATCATTGTACTATCATTGTACTCCTCTGATCCATCTCAAGTTTATATATATATATGTGAATTCTATAACCTTATTCTTAATCCACTGGTGATGGGTCTACATTGAGAATTTCTTGGAAATATTTCATACTGGTAGTTTATCATTTTTCCCCATATAGGCTTAAATATAATTCAATTTGATCTAAACTTTGTAAGTCATTTGGCTAAAATTTGACTTTGTGATTTAATGTTGGCATTACATGTATGTGGTGAATTATTAATGTAATTATTTATCTGTCTATTTATTTTTATAGTTTATGGGTGAAAGCAAAAACGGAAATACACATGTGATTGTAAATTGTTTAATAAGCTTTTTTTTTGCCCAGTCTTCCTCCCTGTCCTTAAAGTAGAGGAAACATGCAGAGAGCTTTGTTGCTACCTTCAGTATCCCACATCTTAGGATATTTTTTATTAGACAAAATATCTTCCGTGTAGTTGTGGATTTTATTAATGGGGAATCATCTGGTATTTGTTATTGTTGTTAGCTGCTGTGGAATTGGCCCCAGATCATGGCGGCCCTATGCTCAATGGGATGAAATGCTACCCAGTCCAGGGCCATCCCCATGATCAGTTGCAGATCAGACTGTTGTGATCCATAGGGTTTTCACTGACTGGTTTTCAGGAGTAGAACACCAGATCTTTCTTCCCAATCTGGTATGAGGGGCTTTAATTTTTACAGACTGACCTTTAATTGGATCAGGTCAAGCTTTCTGTGTTACATATAAAGCAGAAACATTGTGAAGGGAAAAAAAATTTTTGGTAGTAGAGATTATTTAAAACAGATGAAAGATTCTGCACCCTTCCTCCTAAAAATTAGTAATGAATGCTCTTTAAATATTATCTGTGTTTTGGCAGGCACTGACCATGTGAAGCCATTGGAAGGTGTAAAAATTCTGGATCTAACGAGGTTTGTATTGGTTTAACTAGGCTTTGGTGGTTGACTTTTCCCCTGTGAAACATTTATTTTTGAATTATAAGACTATGTTTATATGCTTATTTTCAGAATTTTAGAAAAGAAAAAAATAAAACTAAAATTCTATAATCTCATCATTCTTAAAGATATCAGTGTAATATCTGTGCATATCTTTCCAATCTACACATTTGTATATGATTGTACAGAACAAAAATTGGAACCATATTGAAATTAATTTTACCCACATTTTACACATAATGTATTTTAAATGTTTTCCCCATGTTACTAAAAATTCAACAACAATCTAAGATGGTATTTTATTTTATCATTGTGTAACATAATTACATAATCTTCCCCCCGTATTTCACGATTATGAATTAGACTTCAGGAAACTTTCTTGCACATAAATGTTTGCCTTGGTTTCTGATTACTTCCCTGGGATAGAGCCTTAGAAGAAGAATTCCTGGATCAAAGGGGGTATACTTTGACCAAAATACTTTTTAGAATAGTTTTAACAATTTTAGTTCTTATTAGCGTTATATGAGCTTTTCTGCATTGATGGACTTTTAAGAAAATAATACAAAATTCTTCAAGATGGTAATTAATTAATTTATTGTGGTTAATATTGTAGAGTATTGGCGGGACCTTTTGCTACTATGAATTTAGGAGATCTTGGAGCAGAAGTTATAAAAGTGGAAAGACCAGGTAAAGCTATTGTTCCCTTTAAAAAATAGAAGCAAGCTAATAAGTCTTTTAAGTAATTTCTTAAATATCCATTTAGTGCTTTTGTGTGTCTTAGTCATCTAGTGCTGCTATAACAGAAATACCACAAGTAGATGGCTTTAACAAAGAGAAATTTCTTTCTTTACTGTAAAGTAGGCTACAAGTCGAAATGCATGGCATCAGCTCCAGGGGAAGCCTTTCTCCCTCTTTTGGCTTTGGAGGAAGGTCCTCGTCGTCATCAATCTTCCCTTGGTCTGGGAGCATCTCAGTGTAGGAACCTCGGGTCCAAAAGACGTGCTCTGTTGTTGGCACTGCTTTCTTGGTGATATGAGGTTCCCATGTCTCTCTACTCACCTCTCTCTCTTATATCTTAAAAGAGATTGGCTTAAGACACTGTGTAATCTTGTAGACCTCATCAGCATAACTGCCACTAATCCATCTTATTACATCACAGTGATAGAATATACAACACATAGGGAAATCACATCAGATTACAAAATGGTAGACAGTCATACAATACTGGGAATCATGACCTAGCCAAACTGATGCACACATTTTTTGGGGGGCACAATTCAATCCCTGACACTGTGTGTGGGAGGAGGAGAGAATTGAAATGAATCAGTCCTGTTCTCTTCTCCATTCCTTATTTTCCTCGGAGCCTAAACTACCCGTGTCAAGTCAATTCTGACTCATGGTGACCCCTTGTGGGTCAGAATAGAACTGTGCTCCGTAGGGTTTTCAATCACTGATTTCTCACAAGTAGATCTCCATGTCTTTCTTCTGAGGCTCCTATGCCAACCTTTCAGTTAGCAGCCAAACACGTTAACCCTCTGCATCACCCAGGGACTCTCAGCCTATACCAGTGACTTCTTTGTACTCTTCAGAGGGGCCAAGGCTAAGACTCAAGCCAAGTCCTTTCCATGCACCTGCAAGGCTCCAGTTGAAGCCGAGTTGCAGTATATAATAATGGTGATAATAACAACACGTGTAATAGTGCCAAAGTTTTAAGTATTTTGTCTATATTAATTTATTATATCAGCATGAGCTGATGTTATTATTTCTAGTTTACAAAAGGGAAAACAGAGGCACAGAGAGGTAGAGCATTTTGTCCAAGATCAAACAGCTCATAAGGAATATCCAGGCACTCTGTGCTGATCCTGGCGCTCCTTTGCCCTTAGAAGCCTTGCCTTTGAGACTCACATTAGAGTGGGCCTGGCCACACTCCCTCACTGTGGGTTGCAGAGAAGGCAAGGAGAGGGAATTAGACAAGGGGAGGATAAAAGGGAAGAAATAGACCAGATAAGAAGGAGAGAAGGAAAAGGAATCAAAATCCTTCAAAAAGGAATCCAAATACCCCAGCCTAAGTCATTCTATCTAATAAAAGAAACATTTTCCCATTTTGTAATTTTAAAGCTTTTGAGGGAAAAACACCTAAGCTTAGATCAGTTCTTTGCTTTATGTTTTTCATCGGACATCTTTCTGGTTCTTTCTTCCCTCTTTGTCTCCCAAATAAGCATACTTTGTGTATACAGTTCTCAATTTTATTTGATGCCTTTTTAGCATTTTGGTGTTTAGTTGGTGCTGTTATTGATAAAGTTGCTTAGAAAGTGGCTTTGTTGTATGCCCTTTCTCTCCAATAAATACTTAAAGGCTAGAGTCCCTGGTTTTTTTTTTTTTTTTTAAATTTTATTGTGCTTTAGGTGAAAGTTTACAGTGCAAATTAATTTCTTATTCAAAAATTTATACACAAGTTGTTTTGTGACATTGGTTGCAATCCTCACAATGTGTTAGCACTCTCCCCTTTTCCACTCTGGGTTCCCTGTGTCCACTCATCCAGTTTTCCTCTCCCTTACTGACTGCTCATCTTTGCTTTTGGGCAGGTGTTGCCTATTTGGTCTTGAATACTTGATTGAGTTAAGAAGCACTGTTCCTCACATGTGTTATTGTTTGTTTTATGTTGTTGTTAGGTGCCATCGAGTCAGTTCCGACTAATAGTGACCCTGTGTACCACAGAACAAAACACTGCCCGGTCCTGCGCCACGTTCACAATCGTCGTTACGCTTGAGCCCATTGTTGCAGCCACTGTGTCAGTCCATCACATTGAGGGTCTTCCTCTTTTTTGCTGACCTTCTGCTTTACCAAGCATGATGTCCTTCTCCAGGGACTGATCCCTTCTGACAACATGTCCAAAGTAAGATGTAGTCTCACCATCCTTCTAAGGGGCATTCTGTTTGTACTTCTTCCAGGACAGATTTGTTTGTTCTTTTGGCACTCCATGGTATATTCAATATTCTTCGCCAACACCACAATTCAAAGGAGTCAATTCTTCTTCAGTCTTCCTTATTCATTGTCCAGCTTTCGCATGCATATGGTGCAATTGAAAATACCATGGCTTGGGTCAGGCGCACCTTAGTCTTCAAGGTGATATCTTTGCTTTTCAACACTTTAAAGAGGTCTTTTGCAGCAGATTTGCCCAATGCAATGCGTCTTTTGATTTCTTGACTGCTGCTTCCATGGGTATTGATTGTAGATCCAAGTAAAATGAAATCCTTGACAACTTCAATCTTTTCTTTGTTTATCAAGATTTTGCTTATTGGTCCAGATGTGAGGATTTTTGTTTTCTTTATGTTGAGGTATAATCCATACTGAAGACTGTGGTCTTTGATCTTCACCAGGAAGTGCTTCAAGTCCTCTTCACTTTTAGCAAGCAAGGTTGTGTCATCTGCATATTGAAGGTTGTTAATGAGTCTTCTTCCAGTCCTGATGGCATGTTTTTCTTCAGCTTCTCGGATTATTTGCTCAGCATACAGACTGAATAGGTATGGCGAAAGAATGCAACCCTGACACACACCTTTCCTGACTTTAAGTCATGCAGTATCCCCTTGTTCTGTCCAAACAACTGCCTCTTGATCTATGTACAGGTTCCTCATGAGCACAATTAAGTGTTCTGGAATTCCCATTCTTCTCAGTGTTACCATAATTTGTTATGATCCACACAATCGAATGCCTTTGCATAGTCAATAAAACACAGGTAAACATCTTTCTGGTATTCTCTGCTTTCAGCCAGGATACATCTGACATCAGCAGTGATATCCCTGGTTCCCCATCCTCTTCTGAATCCGGCCTGAATTTCTGGCAGTTCCCTGTTGACATACTGTTGCAGCCGCTTTTGAATGATCTTTAGCAAAATTTTACTTGCCTGTGATATTAATGATATTGTTTGATAATTTCCACATTTGGTTAGATCATCTTTCTTGGGAATAGGCATAAATATGGATCTCTCCCAGTTGGTTGGCCAGATAGCTGTCTTCCAAATTTCTTCGCGTAGACGAGTGAGCACTTCTAGTGCTGCATCCGTTTGTTGAAACATCTCAATTGCTGTTCCATCACTTCCTGGAGCCTTGTTTTTTACCATTGCTTTCAGTGCAGCTTCAGTACCGTTCCTTCAGTACCATCAGTTCCTGATCATATGCTACGTCCTGAAATGGTTGAACATCGACCAGTTGTTTTTGGTATAATGACTCTGTGTATTTCTTCCACCTGCTTTTGATGCTTCCTGTGTCGTTTAATATTTTCCCCATAGAATTCTTCACTATTGCAACTCGAGGCTTGAACTTTTTCTTCAGTTATTTCAGCTTGAGGAATGCTGAGCAGGTTCTTCCCCTTTGGTTTTCTATCTCCAGCTCTTTGCACATGTCGTTATAATACTTTGTCTTCTCGTGCTGCCCTTTGAAATCTTCTGTTCATTTCTTTTACTTCATCATTTCTTTCTTTTGCTTTAGCTACTCGACATTGAAGAGCAAGTTTCAGAGTCTCTTCTGACATCCATTTTGGTCTTTTCTTTCTGTCCTGTCTTTTTAATGACCTTTTGCTTTCTTCATGTATGATGTCCTTGATGTCATTCCACAACTTGTCTGGTCTTCTGTCATTAGCGTTCAACACATCAAATCTATTCTTGAGATGGTCTCTAAATTCAGGTGGGATATACTCAAGGTTGTACTTTGGCTCTCGTGGACTTGTTCTAATTTTCTTCAGTTTCAACTTGAACTTGCATGTGAGTAATTGATGGTCTGCCCCGCAGTCAGCCCCTAGCCTTGTTCTGACTGATGCTATTGAGCTTTTCCATTGTCTCTTTCCACAGGTGTAGTCGATTTGATTCCTGTTTATGCCATCTGGCGAGGTCCATGTATATAGTCGCCATTTACGTTAGTGAAAAAAATATTTGCAATGAAGAAGTCGTTGGTCTTGGAAAATTCTATCATGTGGTCTCCGGCATTGTTTCTATCACCAAGCCATTCCAACTACCGATCCTTCTTCGTTTCCCACTTTCGCATTCCAATCACCCGTAATTATCAATACATCCTGATTGCATGTTTGACTAATTTTGGACTGAAGAAGCTGGTAAAAATCTTCAGTTTCTTCACCTTTGGCCTTAGTGGTTGATGCATAAATTTGAAGAATAGTCGTATTAACTGGTCTTCCTTGTAGGGGTATGGATATTATCCTATCACTGACAGCGTTGTACTTCAGGATAGATCTTGAAATGTTCTTTTTGATGATGAATGCAACGTCATTCCTCCTCAAGTTGGCGTTCCCGGCATAGTAGACCATATGATTGTGTGATTCAAAATGGCCAATTACAGTTCATTTCAGCTCACTAATGCCTAGGATATCGATGTTTACGCATTCCATTTAATTTTTGACGATTTCCAATTTTCCTAGATTCATACTTGTACATTCCATGTTCTGATTATTAATGGATGTTTGCAGCTGTTTCTTCCCATTTTGAGTCATGCCACATCAGCAAATGAAGGTCCCAAAAGGTTGACTCCATCCATGTCATTAAGGTCAACTTTGCTTTGAGGAGGCAGCTCTTCCCCAGTCGTCTTTTGAGTGCGTTCCAACTTGGGAGGGCTCATCATCTGGCACTATATCAGGCAGTGTTCCACTGCTATTCATAAGGTTTTCACTGACTAATTCTTTTCAGAAGTAGACTGCCGGATCCTTCTTCCTAGTCTGTCTTAGTCTGAAGCTAAGTATCTGAATACCGGTGGCATAGCTTCCAGCATCCCAGCAACACGCAAGCCCCCACAGTAAGACAAACTGACAGACATGTGGGGTGTTTGTTTTATAGGCCTATCTGATCTTTGGCTGAAAGGTGGACTTTGGGAGTGTCTTCAGTTCTGAGTTAGCAGGGTGTCCGGGGGCCATAGTTTCGGGGGTTCCTCCAGTCTCTGTCAGACCAATAAGCCTGGTCTTTTTTTTGTTAATTTGGATTTTGTTCTACATTTTTCTCCTTCTCTGCCTAGGACCATCTATTGTGATCCCTGTTAGAGCAGTCGGTGCTGGTAGCTGGGCACCATCTAGTTCTTCTGTAGAGTTTGTGTTCTTTAAGCCCTCTGCATCATTTTTCCCAAGGTTTGAACAATTAGTTTTATTACTTCTGCTTCAAGATCTGATCCTTATGGATCTGGAACAGAATTCCCAAATTAGTGAGGATTATCTAGCCCTGGATAGTGTGCTGATATTTAAAAGACTCACCAGAGACTAATTTATAATTATGTCAACTTTATAATTTACCATAAGTGATGAATCTTATAAGTAGAGTACTCGATCTGGAAGATTCAGCTTTCTGTGAAATAGATTGTCTTAAGAGGCCAAAGCAGTTAGCAGAAGATTCTCTGATCAGCATAAGGAAATAATATTATACATTACTACATTATATTTTATTATATTTATCTCACCCTGTGCTTATCAGGAGCCCTGGTGGCACAGTGGTTAAGAGCTCAGGCTGCTAACCAAAAAGTCAGCAGTTCATATTCACCAGTCTCTGCTTGGAAGACCTGTGGGGCAGTTGTACTCTGTCCTATAGGGTCACCATGAGTCAGAATCAACTTGACTGCAAAGGATTTATTTGTTCATTTGTTGTGCTTGTCAGGCTCCAGGTAGTAGAAAAGCCAGAGAATTCTGTTCTCCAGAGGTAATGGTTCACTTTTCCAGTCAATGAATTCCCTCAGAAAAGATGTTCATCTTTTTTGGTTGTAGCTGAATACATGCTGAAGAACGTTTATATTCTAACTGGATGTCTTTTTTTTTTTTTTCAGTTTCCATAAAACTTCTAATTTCCACATTGCTATCAATTTCAATACCATAGCACTTCCTGATTTCACTCTTTGATTTTCTTGGATCTTCCATTCCTCAGTAGAGCATCCAATCTAATTCTCTTGCTATTTCAGTTGCTAACCAGGCCAATATTTGTATTTGTCTTAATTTTATAAATTCATTATTTCCTATTTACTTAGGCCTGTTTCTGTTTTGTGCCTTTTAGTTTCCGCCATAGGGGAGACTTTTATTTGTCCAGGACTTTATTGTGTCCCATGGAGTCCCTGGATGGTGCAAATAGTTAACACACTTGACGGCTAACTGAAAGGTTGGAGGTTCCCGTTCACCCAGAGGTACCTTGGAAGAAAGGCCTGATGATCTACTTCTGAAAGATCACAGCCATTGAAAACCCTATGGAGCATAGTTCTACTCTGACACACATGGGGTCATCATGAGTTCAAGTCAACTTGATGTCAGCTGGTTTTTTTTGTTTTATTGTGTCCCATAACCATACATTTATTGTCACTCTTTGCTCATCGCAGGTGTCCTTCGCTGTTTTTTTGACTGATTGCTCTGACTCTTGCCCTCAGCTCCCATGTCCAGCGCACTTTAGTGTTCATAGTAGAGATTTCTTTTGGGTTTCCAAGGTGGTTATTCAACATGGAGACGAAAAAAAGTGCATTATAAGTGACTTGGCAATATTTTCAAATTTCAATAGAGAATTAATCTCTTTTCTTGCCCACTTCTCCAGTTTATTCAGTTAAATAAAATTTGGTTGTAGTTCCCGGTTTAGGACTTATATTATTCTTATCTGCATAATCAAAGAGAGTATCAAACTTAGTATACTTTTTTTTCTTCTTTTAGAGGCAGTCGGTCAGTGAGTGTGAACCAGTGTGCCTGCAGAGCCAGGCAGGTAGATGCTGCTGCTGTTTCAGGACTGTCCCCACTAGGGGTGGGGATGTTTGTCTTTTGTTAACAGCTGTGTCTCCTCTGCAAAACAACCATGTCTGTGACACAGTAGATGCTCAATACTTATTTGCTGAATGAATGAATGTAGGAACGTGGGTCTTGTGTTGTAAGACTATCTAAGAAAGGGAGTTGGAATTTTTGAGATCTCCAGATTTTGAAATCGTGGCAGCTAGTTAAAAACTTAAAAACCATGTGGGTCAAATAAAACATTTGTCCCATACTGCCAGTTTTACCAGTGTATGACCTTTAACCTTACACTTCCTGTCCTTATGCCAGAGGCCCTTACTTTCTGCCTCCAAAACCGTGGTTATATCTCAGGGGCCGGAGGTGCAGGAGGGCATCTGTCTTAGTCATCTAGTGCTGCTATAACAGAAATACCACAAGTGGATGGCTTTAACAAAGAGAAGTTTACTCTTTCACAGTCCAATAGGCTACCAGTCCACATTCAGGGCATCAGCTCCAGGGGAACGCTTTCTCCGTTGGCTCTGGAGGAAGATTTGTGTCATCAGTCTTCCCTCCATCTGGGAGCTTCTCTGCGCAGGAACCTCAGGTCCAAAGGACGCGCTCTGCTCCCAGCACTGCTTTATTGGTGGTATGAGGTTCCCATGTGTCTCTGCTTGCTTCTCTCTTTTTATTTAAATCTCAAAAGAGATTGGCTTATAACACTATCCAATCTTGTATACCTCATCAGTATAACTGCCGCTAATCCATTTTATGAGATCATTGTGATTGAATTTACAACGCATAAAGAAATCACATCAGATTACAAAATGGTACATAATCATACAATACTGGGAATCATGACCCAGCCAAACTGATGCACACATTTTTTGGGGGACGTAATTCAATCCATGACAGCCTCCAGCTTAGACTTCTGGCATGATATCCACTTGAGAGATGAATGTAAACAATGTAACATAAACCATCTAATATTAGCCTTATCTTGGCATTCCTTCCTCTTTTGTTTGTATTTTAGTGTACTGGGAGCTTCAAAAAAATGGAAGTGGCTGGACCCTCTCCTGACTTTGCAAGGTCCTGCCTGAGCCTGAGGATCCAGATTCGTTCACACATTTGCCACAAAGCCTTTGCTGGCTCTTGTAGTGTGTTTTTTCCCTAAACTTTTTTTTTTTTTGATCGTGCAATTTCATTTGGTACTTACCCTCGACCGCTTTGTGTTGCTGTTGGTTCATCTCGTTAGTCCTGATGCCCCTTTTCTCTTCTGTTCTGTGTCCTCTGTTTCTCTTGTTTTTTTTTTTTTAACTGAATGCATCTATTCTTCAGCCTCTTTTTTTTTTTTTTTCTCCAAAAGGCAATGTCTATTTTCCTTAATCAATTTCAGTGGGTAGAGCCTAATGGACTAATAGATTGATTATATCATTAAAAGATTAGAGGTTAAGGCTTTGACCTACATTCACAAATTCTCTGTTTGGGGGCTAGTGATAAATACCTTAAATGTAATTACCTATATGGTGATCAGTTTCTTATATCAGTATTTAATCAGAAACATGACAAAGTTCTTAATTTAAGTGATACTATTTTGTGCCATTTAATTGTTGATTCATTTTCTGAGTTCTTAGTTGTTTGCTGATTGTTTTTTGTACAAGGAAAACATTTTTCTGTAATTCTATAGTATTGTCTTTGAATTAAACACAGAATACATTTCAGAATCACTTGAAGTGGACCATCCAGAATAAAACATTCACTCTATTTTTTGGTGGTTTTCAACTTTTACTTTGAAGCAAGACCTAAATGACTAAAATTCCGTTCCAAAAATAGCATTTTAAATTATTCACATTTGCTATTCTGTATCTTATGTGCCTTTCCTGCTTTGTTCATTGTTCTATACCTAGCCTACATGCCACTTTATCATAAGGACTCACTTATCATTATTCTGATTTTAATTATAATTAACAAAGATCTTTTGCAGATTCAAGAGTATTTTCTCTGCCCAATAGATGCCAGAAATACTAAGAGCTGATTGATGTACTTGCCAAAAACTGCAAGTAGTTATTTTCCTCAAATTAGCCATTTATTAACAATAAAGATTGTCAGTAGGATATTTCTTGCTGGACTTTGACTTCTAAGGACGGAGCTTGCCCGTGCAGCCTAAAGAGGATATGGACGCTTTAGTGATGACATAAACAGGTGAAAGACTTGAGTGGTTCTAACAAGCTCACATGGCCGCCTCTCACCTGCTGATTCCACTGGGCTCAGTGATCTTGTTCAGGCACCTGTGAATGTCTGTCATGAGTGAGCCTGCTGGTTTGAAATGTTTCATGGTGTTTCAAAGATTAATAGTGCATATTATCATTTTCAGGAGTTGGTGATGACACACGAACTTGGGGGCCGCCTTTTGTGGGGACAGAAAGTACTTATTTTCTCAGTGTTAACCGAAATAAAAAAGTAAGAACATCAATCCTTTCTTGATTTCTTTGCGTAATTCTTTTGTAATAACCAAACTTTTGATATTGTCATGGCTTCTTTCTTTTTCTGTAGATGTAACTAATGTCTCAAATAAGATGAAATTGTATCTGTTCACCAGTCACTAAATAGAAACAATAGAGCTTTCTATTAATCTTCCTTCTCTACCAAGTTCCTTAAAACATTTTCTGAGGATTTGTAATGGAAACAATAATTTGATGAAAGAGAGAAATGATTTGATTCTCTACATTTTTTATTCTTTTGAAGAAGGCTGATTGCCTGACACCCAGTATCATCATTTGAAAAATATTTAATATAATTCTTGCTACCATCCTAACTGCAAATAAAATCAGTAAGGATAATTTAAATGTGTCTTCATGAAGAAAATAAATTTTCTTTAAGAAGAGAATCTATGCTTTGAATGGCTCTGTTGTTGACTAGAACTGTCAGTAGTTAAAAAAAATCTTTATGGTAGTATTTTAATAATATTTCATTTAATTTTTAGAGTATAGCTGTCAATATCAAGGATCCAAAAGGGGTGAAAATCATCAAAGAGGTACAGTATGCTCTATGGAAGGCATTTTACCACTGTCATGGATTGAATTGTGTCCCCCAAAAATGTGCGTTAACTTAGCTGGGCCGTGATTTCCAGTATTGTGTGGTTGTCCACCATATTGTCATCTGATTTGATTTTCCTACGTGTTGTAAATCCTACCTCTGTGATGTTAGTTTAGTGAGGCAGAATTAGAGGCAGTTATGTTAATGAGGTAGGACTCAATCTGCAAGATTAGGATGTGTCTTAAATCAATCTCTTTTGAGATATAAAGGAGAGAAGCGAGCAGAGAGACGGGGACCTCATACCACCAAGAAAAAAGAGCCTGGAGAATAGCACGTCCTTTGGACTTGGGGTCTCTGCACTGAGAAGCTCCTCAACCAGGGAAGATTGATGACAAGGACCTTCCCCCAGAGCCAGCAGAGAGAGCAAGCCTTCCCCTGGAGGTGGCACCCTGAATTTGGACTTGTAGCCTCCTAGTCTGTGAGAGAATAAATTTCTCTTTGTTAAAGCCATCCACTTGTGGTATTTCTGTTACAGCAGCACTAGATGACTAAAACAACCACCTAGGCTGTAATTAGGTATTTGAACATCAGAATAAAAATATTTAAAGCATTATTTCATTGACAATCTGTAATCTTGGTATGGAGTCCCTTGGTGGTACAAATGGTTAAGTGCTTGACTACTAGCTGAAAGTTTGGCGATCTGAACATACCCAGCGGTGCCTTGGAAGACAGGTCAGAAAGCTTTGAAAAGCCTATGGAGCAGTTTACTTGGCAAACATGGGGTCACCAGGAGCTGGAATCGACTTGATGATAACTAACAACAGCAATCCTGATAATAAATGCCATTTAAGAATTTAACTTGCCTTTTATAGTAAGTATAATGCAGTTTATAATTTCTTATATGTTGTGTATAATGTTGTTAGCTGCCTTTAAGTTGGCCCTGACTCATGGTGATCCCATGCACAATGCAACAATATGCTGACCCGTCCTATGCCATCCTATGATTGGTTGCAGATCAGACCTTTGTGATTTTCATTGACTGATTTTCAGAAGTAGATTGCCAGGACTTTCTTCCTACTTTTTCTTAGTCTGGAAGCTCTGCTGAAACCTGTTCAGCATCATAGCAACATGGAAGCCACCACTTACAGATGGGTGGTGGCTGCACATGTTATGAATTGGGCAGGATTCAAACCCAGGTCTCCCACATAGAAGGTGAGAATTCTACCACTGAACCACCAATGCCTCATAAATGAAGTATTAAAATTCCCTTTCTCACAGGAGGGATTGATTTTCAACGGGGCTTAAGGGATCTCCAAAGATTACATAGCTAGTAAGGGGAAGAGCTGAGATTTGAACCCTGGATCACATTACTGAAGAGGCATTTTTTGCAACACTTACATGTCCAGACCTTAGCATCTTTCCTTGAGGGGCAAGATGTCCTAATGGTTAAGAGTGCATACCCTACCGTTTCACTTCCTGGGTCTGTTGAATCCTGCCTCCTCTACTTACTAACTACGTGATCTCAGCCAGATTACTTCTTTGTGCCTCAGTTTCCTCATCAGTAAAACGGTGATAATAATAGTACCTACCTCATAGGGTTTTTGTAAGAACTTCATTCATACATATAAAATGTGTAGACAAGTGCCTGCCACATAGTGGTCATTAAGTGTTAACTTAATATTGTTTCCTGATGCACATAGAGTTGGATTCATCTTATGAACGAGAGGTTGTCTGCCATCCTTTTTAAAGTTTAAAATCGAATCTAGTGGATGCAACCCTAGTTGATTAGAGAACCAGATCTCAAACTTTGTTTTATACCAAAGCATCAACTTTAGCTTAATTGCTTTGCTGCTACTTGCCTTATATATCCAGGTGATTGAAAGCTAATTTCTTTTAATTATTAAGACCAGAATCAGCAACCACCTTCTTTGGTTCTGCTGGATCAATCCAAAAAATTTAAGAATTTTTGTTTATCAATATATTTTGAACCTAAAATTCTATCTTACTGTTCAGATCTTACTTTTTTCCTTACATCTTTCCTATAGCATAACTTATTTTTTGTTTTTTCCTTTCATTTGAGCCTCAGTTTGATTTTCTAAATTGTTCTCCATTATTGTTGGTCTGCTCTGTTTTTCTACAGTGGCTAATCTCACCTTGGCCCTACCCCCGTTGTCTTCATTCTCAAGCCCTTCTTTTTGTCTTATCCTCAGATAAGGAGATGTCACTGGGTAGATCAAGTGGTTTTGTACTTGACTACTAATTGAAAGGTTGGTGTTTCAAACCCATCAGTGATGCTGCAAAAGAAAGGCCTGGCAGTCTGCTTCTGTAAAGATTACAGCCAAGAAAACCCTATGGAGCTCCATTCTACCCTGTAACACATGGGGTTGCCATGATTTGGAATCTATTCTATGGCAACGGGTTTGGTTTTTTTTTTTTTTGGCTCTTCTCTTAATACTTCTCTTTCTGTTCTATGTTTCTCTGTCCCGTCTTCAGTACTGCCTTGCTGTACTTCCATTTCCATTTCCATTTTATCCAGAATAGTACAGGCTTCAGATTTGATTTAACAAATACTTTACATTTTCATTAGAGGCAGTGTTAGGTGGAATCTATAACCTATATGTACATTGGAATCCCTGGGTGGTGCAAACAGTTAACTCTCTCGGCTGCTGACCAGACGATTGGAGGTTTGGGTCCACCCAGAGGCACCTCAGAAGAAAGGCCTGGCAATCTACTTCCAAAAAACCAGCTGTTGCAACCTGTCTGGAGCACAGTTCTACTTTGACACACATGAACATGGGGTTGCCATGTGTTGTAGTCAACTCAATAACAACTGGTTTTGTACATGTACAATTCTGACCAAAATAAATGAATTGTGGGATATCCCTTCCCACTCTCTTTGGTTCCTGCCAGTGTCCTCTACCAAACTAACAATTTAAAATTAAGTTTCATTTTTAGCTTGATTTCTCTATAAGTATGGTTGCTAATATTAAAACACCACATTCACCTTATCTTAAAGCTGAATAAATTGTCTGAGAACATTATGTCTATTGCTTTCAGCTAGTTATACCATCATAAGTTATGTATCTTATTGCCTGGAGGAAAAAATATTTTCAGTATAGCCTTTTATATTCTTTCTGGCATAGATTTATCTTTTGGCCTTAAGAGTAGCAAAACAACCTCTGTGTTCAGACCTCGGAGGCTATGATTGCTAATATAATGAGTTTATAGCAACGCTTCCAAAGTATTATACAAAGCAATCAGTTGGATACATGAGAGCTCCAAAAAGTATGACTCCTTTGTCAACTAGGCTAACCAAAACCAGGTTGTGTTAAAAAACACAGGTTTGGTTAGAAAGTCTATTGGAGCCTAATATTTTCGTGGTAATATGATTTGATAACTTTCTAACACTTGTCATCCTGTATTTCAAATAATTCTGCATTAATTAGTTTACTAGTCACAGCATTCCCGTTGTAACTGGGCATGTATTAGGGTTGACAGAGCAATGTCATATTTTTTTTCCTCTCCAATGTTTTATTATGAAAAATTCAAAACAGAAAAGTTGGAAGAATGGTATAATGAACTCTCATATATCTTACACCTAAATGCGACAATCTTAACATTTTGCAGCATTTGCTTATTGACAAATGCATGTGTGTGTTTTTTTTAAAAAAAAAATTGAAGATATCGTGAAATTTTGCCCTTAAATCCTTCAGAATGCACCTCCCACAAATAAGGACATTCTCTGACATGACATTTTTAAAGGTTATTTTATGATTTCTTTAGGCATAAAAGTGGCTACATTCTTGTTGACACTTTTCCCTCTATTTCCCATCTTGCTTATTCAGTCTGTTCTTAAATTATATCTAGTGAAAATAATTCAGAATTAAGTACTCTCCATTTCGAACTGATTTTAGTTCTTATTTACTCTGTAACTGGAAGGAAGATACATATTTCCTTTTCAAAAAGAGAAAGATAGTGGAGTCTCTAAATCACACAAAATTGTGCTCCTTGTTTATTCTGATCAAGATTGTAGAAGAGATTATTAGGTGATTAGGTTAACACCTAGACTAGGAAGAGGTGATCACCAGTAAAACTGGGAATAGTCTCTTTTCTCTCTCTTTGCTTCTGAGTAGACCCTTATATTAGGGAAATGCAATAAACATTTGTCTCCACTGCAGCAGTTGACTTGTATAATACTTGCAGACATTGTGGAGAATGACTATGCTTAAGCAGTTAAGCATCCTAATGACTATATATATGTATTTCCAATCAGAGGTGTTTTCTTATGGTTCTGATTTCAGCACTGCTCTGTTTAGAATTTTAATGAATGACTTAGCTGAAACTATAGGGAACATGGAGGGGCGGCATGGTGATTCAGTGGTAGAATTCTTGCCTTCCGTGTGTCTGTCAGTTTGTCTTACTGTGGGGCTTGTGGGTTGCTGTGATGCTGGAAGCTATGCCACCAGTACTCAGATAACAGCAGGGTCACCCATGGTGGAAAGGTTTCAGCTGAGCTTCCAGACTAAGACAGACTAGGAAGAAGGACCTGGCAGTCTACTTCTGAAAAGAATTAGTCAGTGAAAACCTTATGAATAGTGTTGGAACATTGTCTGATATAGTGCCAGAATATAAGCCCACCAGGTTGGAAGGCACTCAAAAGGCAACTGGGGAAGAGCAGCCTCCTCAAAGTAGAGTCGACCTTAATGATGTGGATGGAGTCAAGCTTTTGGGACCTTCATTTGCTGATGTGGCATGACTCAAAATGAGAAGAAACAGCTGTAAACATCCATTAATAATCGGAATGTGGAATGTGTGAAGTATGAATCTAGGAAAATTGAAAATCGTCAAAAATGAAATGGAACACATAAACATCAATATCCTAGGCATTAGTGAGCTGAAACGGACTGGTATTGGCCATTTTGAATCAGACAATCATATAGTCTACTATGCTGGGAATGACAACTTGAAGAGGAATGGCGTTGCATTCACCGTCAAAAA